CGTGTTTTTCTCACACACCTGTTTTTTACTACAGACCACTAACGTGTGGGGACGCAGCAAGCAGAGGTGATTTCCACGTCTCCGCGCGAGGTCTAACCGTAGTTTCTCGGGGCCGTTTCTTTGCTTTATATAGTTTTACGTAAAATGTGAGCCCATTGAGACTTGGAAAGAAAGTCGCTTCCTGTGTTTTGTTGTTGTTTCTGCAATGACTCGAGTATTCATCACAGCAGATAATCAGTGGCCTCTGCCGTGTGTCCTCGGAGGGGGAAGGAGACAGTCGTGGTAACCTTTTCACGGTGGAGAACTAACCCCGCACCCGGTGCCCTGTTGTGTGTTTTTTCTCTGCCCCCAGGGAGTTCTGTCCAACATCTCTTCCATCACCGACCTCGGCGGCTTCGACCCCGTCTGGCTCTTCCTTGTGGTGGGAGGAGTGATGTTCATTTTGGGATTCGCAGGGTGCATTGGAGCGCTGCGGGAAAACACTTTCCTCCTCAAGTTTGTAAGTATCCCACTCTGTTCTCAGGCGAAAACCAAGCATGCCCCCATCAGCAGGACGCTGCCTTTAGCGAGAGGGAGCTGTCCCGAAAGCACTGGCAGAACTACAGCCTGGGCCATGCTTTTCTGTACGAGAGCCCTCTATTCTGCCCCTGCCAGGCCTCCTTCATAGTATATATACCACCCCACCCCATGACATCCACGGGGGTTTTGCACACGTATGTCACGACTGCATTCCAATCCCTAAAATACCCTTAGGACTAAGGTGGTTCTGTAGACATAGTTTTCTTCTTTTAAGTGAGTTATGCTTCCTCTTTTAAGCACATAATCAGGAGAAAGTTGTTCAGCTGGTTGGTTTAGAGAAACCAGACATAAGCACCATGGCTGTGGCCTGTGCAGATTAAACCTGTGAAGCAGGAGGTTTTGGTGAATATGGAGAAACAGTGAAAGGCAAAGTCTTCCCCTTGTTGACCAGCATGCTTTTCAGATCCCTTGCAGGGTGTTGTGACCACTGTTAGCATGAATATATTTGGAGGAGGAGTTCCCCAAGGGTAGATAGGTAGTAAAAGGAGAGCATGAACAGCGGAAGCCTTTCCTTTGGAGATGCTTCCCAGAGGAGAACAGGATGGCTGATGTGCACACGTGTGTGTGTGTGAAATAGGTTCGGTGAGCGTAGCCAAAGCTCACTGAATGTGCCTGTTTGGTGTCAGCATTTGGTGGCGGCCATATCACAGCCCTCCACACAACGGTATCCACTCCCCTTTCTAAAAATAAAAAGTATGGGGGCGGGGGAAAACCCACCCTCCTGTGATGAGGGAAGATGGTTAGATTTCTAGAGAATCGTATCAGTTTAATATCACTAATCTCACCCTTATGACACAATGTCATTGAGGGCCATTTTCATTTAAAACAAGAGCTCCCGCCAGGACTAGTCCCAGCTGCCATGCAGAATGCGATTCTCTCCCCAGCACATCTGCCACATCTTCCCCTGGCATTTCTTCTTGAACATCCCCAGGAAGAGCAGACTCACCGTCCATACAAGGTGGGCAGCTCTGGCCCAGGCAAGGTCCGGAGGCTGTTTCGCCTGGAAGTTCATATGACTCGCGCTGATAGGGAAAAACCAAGGTGCAATCTAATGAGCCACTGGATCTCTGTTCTGTACACATGGGTCTCTGGTGGGAGTAGCTAATTTCCCAAACTCTGTTTCTCTTACACCCACCCACCCACCCACCCACCATTCCTCACCTCGTCAAAGACCTACGGAGGCCCCAGGGAAGTTTTGTCCCTGATAGCAACCTGCCAGTCCTCTGGGCATGGGGTATTTCTAAAGCTTGAGCGCACCTCCCTCAGCTTTTCTGTAGCCTGTTTGGGGCCTCATCATACTGACTGATTGCCACTATTTTACCATTTTTAGCCTCCATGCCCCCAAATGATTCACTTTAATCATATTAGTTTATAAGCGTCGTCCCTTTATCACTTTTATAGATAAAGATACTAGAGCTAACTTGAATAGGCAGAGATTTATACATTTCTCTAAGTTATCACCTTAATTTATAAAGTCCCATGTTGCAAATAAAGAGAATTGTGTTGTTTCCTGGCTTCCTTAAGTCTTGGGACTATTTTAAATGGTCCCTTTCTCCGTTTAGTACATGTAATAAAAACTGGCCTAGAATAGTCTTTGAAATAAGTAGGAAGTCAATGGCAGCATCATTCCAAACAGCCTCAACCATCTGATGCTGTAAGGCCAAGAGAACTACTGGGGAAAATCCAAGAGCTGAGTTACCGTGAAATAGAAATGGAGCTTTCTTGTTGACTGAGGCCCTGGAATGAAGCCTGTGAATCCATCTCTTCTCCTTTGGAAATGGGGAAATTTACTCACAGGGCCCGTGTGTGTTCCTGCCAAATATTTGATAAGAATTTAATTTAGACTCAATTTTTGATATGCATATTGTATATTATTATGTGAACATTTACCAGGGGAACTAGAAAATGAACTTGCCTAGCCTTTGTAAAGGTGAAGACAAAAACCTAATTATAACCTTTGCATGACTTATGTCTTGTTGTTTGTGTGTGCACACACATGATCTCATTTCTGTAGTGTGATGACTGTCATGTAGAGTGGTACCTGATAAAGGGAGGGGAGTTGTATTGTGCTATGCTATAGGGTGGCCATTGAGTAAAAGTGATAGAATTTCCCCATCCCCCCATGTGTGAGCATTTAATGAACTTCCTCTCTGTGGCTTCAAGCCACCAGGACACAGACCCCCCCTCTCCCCCAGCACCCTTCATCTTCTCCTCAGCTATTCTGCTGACGAACTTGGCCTTCATGATGATAGGCTGCTTGGGGAGCTCTGGTTCCCCTTTAAATGGTAATCCTCATACCAACTTTCCCAAGGACCCTGGGCCAAAGCTGTCGAAGTTGATCCTGTGATGATGCAAGCCACCATCACTGCCTCGCAGCACCCCCCTACCCCCTCACCCCGTGCTTCCTGTGCTTGCCGATGCAGCCGTGGCCCTGAAGCTTCCGGGTCTTCCTCAGTCATGATGGCCTGAGATGCAAGAGCAAAAGGGACCATTTTCTTGTCCTTTTTCTAGGTTGAGGAAAGCTCACACTGAAATTACTGGTACCAGTGATGATAATGAACTCTTTAGATGCTGTTGCTAGTGAGCTCAAGGGCAGATAACCAGGAGCTCTGACCCTGAGGGCTGAGCTGGAGGGCCTAGAATGGGGCCTAAACCTTGGGATCCCAGACTTTGCCAGGCGCTTATTTCTTCTTCCCACCCTCCCCTATGCCCACCCTCTCAGAGCAGCACCTGGCACCCTGGGCAAACACTGTCAGATACACACTGCGATGTGGCCCACCTCACTGCCCGCCCCGTCCCTTACTGTAAGAGGCTCTTTGGAGGCAGGGTATGGGCTACTCATCCTTGCTTCTGCAAAGCCCACCCAGCTCAGTAGATGTTTGGTGAATGAATACACATTTTTAGTCTTTTTGTTTGTTTGTTTGGTTTTTGTTAATCTTCAACAGAGGATATTTTTTCCATTGATTCTTTTTCCCCCCCTGTATATCGCTGTCAGGCTCCGCTCTGCATCCATTGATTTTATTTATTTATTTATTTTTTTTTTAGAGAGAGTAAAAAAGGAGGAGGTGGGGGAGAGAGAGAGAGAGAGAGAAACATCTGTGTGAGACAGATACAGCTATTGGTTGCCTCCCGCACAAGCCCCGATCACTGGGGCCTGGGATCGAACCCGAAACCCAGGTACGTGCCCTTGACTGGGAATGGAACCCAAGACCCTTGAGGGCTCTGGCCGAGGCTCCAAGCACTGAGCCACACAGGCCAGGGCCGTTCCTAGTCTTGGTAAATTGTAAGTAACTGTGTCGTTTCCTCTGTGCCGCCCCCACGTGGTGTGCTCCTGGTTGGCCGCCTGAGGGCTCCTGCGGGATGTAGACACAGCAGCAGCTCTGGCCCCTCTGCCTCCTCGCCGCCCCCTGTCCTGCAGCCTCCGGAGCTCTGCTGACAGGGGTGGCCCCGGGTCGCCTTTCTGTCCTCGTCACCAGGAGTTTGCTTGCAGTTTATACGCTGCTCCTTCACAGCCTCATTTCTCAGAAACTCTTTGAACAAATTAAAATGGAAAAGGGTAAGAATGTGGAGGCTGGAGGAAGTGGAAAGAACTGGAGGTGTGACGGTAGGTGATATGACTAAGGTGAGGCTCTGCTGAGTGTTCTAGACGGAAGGGAGTTTTCTCCAGTTCATGGGCCATCCCCACGTTACCCGTGGTCTCTCGCCTGCCTTCTTAAACTCCTCTCATCTGCATGAGCCAGGAGTCTCCCTTCAATGGCATCTTGATGTTATTTAAAATATTCCGAGGCTGGTGCTTCACAAGGGAAAGTGGTTTCGTTTTATTTTCTCGATGGGAAATTATTTTCATGTCACAGTCGCCCCCCACTTCCCCTCTGTTCTCTTCATCTGAGATGCACGTGTGTGCCGTTTTGCCCTGTGGAGCAGGTGCAAAGGGGGATTAGAGCAGGGTCTGAATCCATAAAAGGAATATAGCCATACAGGACCCAGGCCACAGTAACAAATGAGGGGTGATCTTAAAACATTGGGGTAGTTTCTTTCTCAGTGTTGCAAAAGCTTACTAGAGGTGGGGACGGGCCGTTGTTCAAGGCCTGGCAGGCAGCACATTAATCAGGAGAAATTCCTTAGGCCTTAATGTGACTCTAATGAGAAACTCCTATTTTCTCTTTGCTTATGAGCCTTGTTGGTTAATTGCCAAATGGAGCCACCAGAGCCCCACAATGTGATTATGAAATGATTTTTTTTAAAGTCCTTTCTTGGAGTGTAATATTTTATTAATGAATCTTAAGAAACGGAAGGTTATCTGCTTTGGACGTGTGTACCAACCCAGTGTAATCACAGACCTTCTTAGAAGGCACCATTGAGCTGTATATGATCAAAATAGCCGGTGTAACTGTTCTCCATCTATGTGTCTTTTGCCTTAGTTTTCTGTGTTCCTGGGCATCATTTTCTTCCTGGAGCTCACTGCCGGGGTCCTGGCATTTGTTTTCAAAGACTGGATCAAAGACCAGCTGTATTTCTTTATAAACAACAACATCAGAGCGTACAGGGATGACATTGATTTGCAAAACCTCATAGACTTCACCCAGGAATATGTAAGTTTAAATTTGGTTTCTTTTCAAGTTGAAAGCCTTCTGGGAAGGATGGCCCCAGAGAGCATCCTCCTGGCTCCGCGCCCGCCAGCTGGGACGCCCCTCTGACTGGTCTGCGTGGCTTTTGGGTTGTTTGCTTGTCTGTTTATTCTTTGCTGACTTGTTCTGTGACCTGCACGATTTGTGCTCTACATGGAAATGGCCTGTTTTTACTGAATCTTCGTGTCTGCCAAGAGGAACAAAGAAGGAAACTCTTGAGCAAGAAGGTTCTAATCACAGTTGCCCTTTGCTGCCGACGTTTGAAGAAGATTGCTTTGCTATAGGTTTAACGTTTTATTTGGCGTTAAATATGGATTCTGTCTTGTTCCTTGACCATTTCTAGTCATCCTCCACACCTCACAGCTCAGAATAATATCCTCACCAGTAGGGTGTTTGTTCAAAATTCCCTGACGTAGACCCATTCAGTATTATAGCACGTGCGGGTGAAACTGAAAGTCGAGCAAGTTTCACCCCCCTGGTGGCCTCTACCGAGTGGAGAACCTGAGCAGGGAGCCCCTCCCACCCAGAACATATTTCTGTGGCGGCCCCTGCAAGGCAAACGAAGCAGCAGAATCCCTGTTCCACTCAGAATGCAAAATGGCCTATCAACAGGGCTCAGAAGATACAGATCTGGTGCCCAAATCTGATCAGCTAAGCGACTTAGGGTAATAGGACCTTGGCCTGTGTCCCCAACAGGAACGTGGAAACAATAAAAGCTACAGTTTAACTCATGGAGATTCTGTGACACTCGAGTAAGATGTGCTTGGTGGTTTCATAATGGGCTTCGGGTGTTGTGGTCCTACCAACCGACAGGTGCTTATTTGCAGACACTTAAAACATCGGAAAAAATCAGATAAGCTGCGCAGACCTGGACTGTGGTGTCCACGATGTTAATGCACATGGCAGGAGGAGCTGGGGTCCCTTTGGTAAAGGGAGGAGAGGGCCATATCGGCACTCGTCCTGGGGGCAACCCCCACACCCCCACATACATCAGGCACTCAGAGCAGAGCAAGTTGTGTTGATTTTGTTCCGTGGCAGCAAGGACTGCCCTGGAGTGAGCTGTACTCGGGTGTGAAATGAAGCCCCCTTTCATCTCGGCAGACTTCACTGTTTTGTTAGGTCATAATGGATGCAGGCTCACGCCTTGCCAAGTATTATTGCTGCCTCGTTTGCATGACAATCTGATGGAGCTGTGCAGCCAACTTTGGGAGGCGCAACTCCAGCCCTCAGAGAACCCGATGAGGCTGACGCACATGCGTAGACACGTTCTCTTGAAATGCTGTCTGCTTTACGGGGAAATACTGTCGTTTCATGTGATTTTTCTTTTTCTGTCGTGGAGTTGAATGTTCTGAAGTAGATGCTGGTCCTGAAAGCCGTCCAGTGGTCCCGGCTGGATGTTTATTTAACTGGGCGTGGGGGCGTGGGGGGAGGAGACAATGGGACCAGCCTCTGTGTCAGGCCCCTCGTAAGACCCACGGAATTTAACATGATTGTATTTTAATTAGACGATTGCATTCTTAAGTAATTTTTTGAAAATATAAATACCTGCTCTTGTTTAAACAGATTCCGAGTACTAACAGATATGTAATGAGAAGTCAGCCTCCTTTGGACACTGCTGTTTAGTGTCTTATCCTTCTAGAATGTTCCCACATACACTCAAACTAACCCCACCCTGTTCTAAGGGAGCCCTGCTATCAACTCCTGCCCCCCCCCCCCCACCACCACCACCACCTAACACCATGGGTCCCATCGACCTTGCAAATCACATGCCCACACACCCTTACAAACCTTCTGCCTGCGTTATTTTGGAGGCTTTGATGAGGGCTGTGTGGGTTCAGTCTGGTATAAAAATAAATTCTGAGACGGAGGGAGGGAGCCGGCAGGACGGGGTGTGGGCCGTTGGGGCGGGTGTGGGTGCAGCGCCTGGTGGCCTCCAGGTGGAGGTGTTCTAATTCTCTCCTGTTTGCTCTAGTGGCAGTGCTGTGGGGCTTTTGGAGCTGATGATTGGAACCTAAATATTTACTTCAATTGCACAGATTCCAATGCAAGTCGGGAGAGGTGCGGCGTGCCATTCTCCTGCTGTACTAAAGATCCCGCGGTAAGTGGGGGCAGCACATGGCTCCCCTCCCTTTATCGGGACGGTGTGTGGGATGGGCAGAGGGGTGGTGTTCTTCTGGAAACCTCTTACCTGCGTAGTCCTGACTATCGCTCCTGCAGGGCCTATAGGGCTCAGTTCTTCCCAGTAGGAGTGATCATCGCTCCTGTTCTGAGCCTTTGTGTGCCTTGGCTCATTGAGTCCGAAACATTCCTGCCAGCAGATACCAACATTATCTTCCCTTTTTAGGTGAAATCGAGGCCCCTGGGTTTTAAGTCCCTACCCAAGCTCACATCACCAGCAAATGTTGGCGTTGTTCCTTCTTTATAGGCTCACCTGGGAGCTCTCTCATTGGGTTGCGGTTAGTAACCCTCTTCTTCCCGACTTAGTTGTGGGGGACACATTGGAATAGAAGAGTTTGAGACAAGAATGCTATGCGGGAAGAGCATAGCTGCCCAGATTCATTTGTAGCCTGTCAGTCCCCAAGCATGCACCCTCAGAGCTGCCCTTGCCCCCATCATGCAGATTCGAGTGGGCACTGATGAGTTCATGGCCATTTCCCCCTGGAAGGTAGAGGGTGTGCAGCTCTTCAAAAGGGGCGTGGCCTTGGGGTGGGGAAGCAGAAGTTCCCCGCAGCCTGCCCATCGCCCATCGCCCCTGGTGGGGGTCAGCCTGGGCTGTTACTCTTGGTCTGAAGAGACTGAGAATCAGGAAGGCCTGTGCTCGCTGCTCTGGGATCTCGCCAGGACAGCTGACCTTCCCCACTGGCTGGTTTCTCCCTTTCCTTTGAGGAGGCCCAAAGGCAAGAGTGCCCGGCAGAGCCCAGGGTGCCCGCTCAGGCAGCCTCGCGCTGGCCAGCCGATGCCAGCTGCTCTGTCTCCCGTTCTGCCCTGTGTTAACATTCCATCAGACAGACTCCGAAGTTCTCAGAAGGCATTATGTCTCCCCTTTCAGCGACAGATCCTCTGGGTAGAGGTATCTCTTTCCATAAATGCCAAGCTAACAATTTCCACCCAGCCCCTGCAGAGGGGAAAAAAAACAAAAAAAACAAGCCTAAAAGAGGGGAATTCGCATTTCTGATCAGGGCTGTCGGATGTCAGAACATGTGTCCATGTGATATGTGACTAGGGTGTTGTTCTGTTTTTAATGAAGTCACGTATTCTCATTGAAAACTCATTTAAATAACATAGAAATATACATATTAAAAAGTAGAAGTCCTTCTCCCCCTCCCACCACCAAAGAGAGCAAAAATGAAGCCAGTCATTATGCCCATTCAGCATGGTTTTTATCTGTCTCCAGTTCCCTAAACACCATAAACGTATTGAGGCTGTCAGCTCTGAATCCTGTACCTCCCACATACTGGGCTTGCTCTCCTTCCTGGTATTTCCTGAGCTTCTGTTTTCCTCATTTGTAAAAGGGCATATTTTAATACCTATTTCTGAGGATTGTTAAAATAATGACATGGGGTAACGTATCAGAGTGCTTACCGAGGCGCCCGGTCCATCTGTGTGCCCGATGCACATTGTATTACCCTGAGTGGGCTTCTAACCGGCGTGACTGTCACTGTCCTGTTTTCTTTCCCCCCCAGGAAGATGTCATCAACACTCAGTGTGGCTATGATGCCAGGCAGAAACCAGTAAGTGGGTACCATCTTGTCGCTTGGCACATGGGGTGTTGGAGGAGCCTTGGAACTTGCGTGCTGACGCTGTGTTCTCCTCTTCCCTTGTGAAGGAGGTCGACCAGCAGATCGTAATCTACACGAAAGGCTGCGTGCCCCAGTTTGAGAAGTGGCTGCAGGACAATTTAACCATCGTGGCCGGTGTGTTCATAGGCATTGCGTTGCTACAGGTAAGGCCGGGCTCCTTCCTGGACGTCACGGGAAGCGATGCCCCGGGAGAATCCTCACCAGGCCAGGCACTTTGCCGGATCACCTTAATGGCCCAGTATTTAAGACACAATTGGAGGGGCTGGGAAACAGACCCAAATTATGTGGTATTTTATTAAAGCTCTGATTTTAGGTGCAACTCCATCCTAAAATACATTAGGAAACTGGTTGTTGTTTTTTTTCCTTTTGAAGATGGAGACGTTGATTGGGTCAATGCATTTCCATGGGCTCAATAATTAATTCTGAGGATTGTGTGTGCCAGCTGGGCAGACAGGAATAGTCAAAAGCAAATCCAAGTGGTGAGGTTAAGGTTTTTTTGGATTTTTACAAACATGCTGTGTCCCTTTCTGCCTCTGGCCCACCTTCCCAGAGTGCTAGTGAGGGAAAGGAGTGCCCACTTTTCCTCCTGGGCAGTCCCAAGTGCTAACTTTTTCATCCGGTGGAGATGTGATACTTTTCTTTGAGCCCAAATGCGGCGCGGTGGTTGAAAGAAACGAAAGAAGACGTAAATAATGGAAAGCCTTCCCATACTCATGGACTGAAAGGCTTACTATCGCTAATGTGGCAGTACGCCTCAAATCCATCTACAGACTCAGTGCAATCTCTGAATTCAAACTGCCTTTTTTATTTTTTTATTTTTTTTCAAAAATGGACAAGTTGATCCTAAAATTCATATGGAAATGCAAGGGACCCAGAAAAGCAAAAACAAACTTGAAAAAGAACGAATTTGGAGAATTCACACTTCCCAATTCCAGACTTACTTCAAAGGTGCAGGCATCAAGATAGTGCCTCCTGGCATAAGGTTGGCATATAGATCAGTGGAACAGAATAGAAAGTCCAGAAGTAAACCCACGCATCGACGGTCAGTAGATTTTTGACAAGGGAACCAAGACCGTTCACTGGGGCAAAAATAGTCTTTTCAATAAATGGTGCTGGACCAACTGACTATCTATATGCAAAAGAATAAATTTGAACTCCTACCTCACACCATACATGAAAATTAACTCAAAATAGACCAAAGACCAAAATATAAGAGCTAAAACTATAAAACTCTTAGGAGAAAGTACAGGTGTAGGAGAAAGTATAGGTGTAGCTCTTTGCGACCCAGGAGTAGGTGGTTTTCTTAGACATGACACTACAAGCACAAGCAACCAAAGAAATAGTAGATCAATTGGACTTTGTCAAAATTAAAAACTGTGCTAAAAGTACTAAGAAAATGAAATGACAACCCACAAAATGGAAGAAAATATTTGCAAATCATTATATCTGGTAAGGATCAAGTATCTGGACTGTACAAAAAACAACTCAACAGTTAAAAAGTCAAACCCAATTTAAAGATGGGCAAAGAATTTGAATAGCCATGTCTCCAGAGAAGATACAAATGGCTAGTAAGCACGTGAGGAGATAGAACGTCACCATTAATTGTTAGGGAAATTCAAATGAAAACCACAGTGAGATACCTACCACTTCATACACAGCAGGATGGACATACAGTTGACCCTCGAACAACATGGGTTTCAGCTGTGTGGGTCCACTCATAAGCACATTTTTTTTTCAACTGACCACAGTTCAGTTGATCTATGTAGTTCAACTGGCTGAGGTTGGGAATCTGAGTATGCAGAAAACTGACTAGTTATGTGCGGATTTTTCAACTGCATGGGATTACAGCACCCGTAACCCCCATGTTGCTCAGGGGTGAACTGTAATGATAAAGGAAGATAATAATGAGTTTTCGAGGATGTGAAGAAACTGGAACCCTCACACATCACTGAAGGGAATGAAAATGATGCGGCCTGTACGGAAAACAATTGGCAATTCCTCAGAAAATTACAGTTACCATATGACCCCGCAATTCTATTCTGAGGTATGTACCCCAGAGAATTAAAAACATGTGTTCACCCAAAAACGTATATACAGATGTTCATAGTGATATTATTCATAAAAGCCCAAAAAAGGAAACACTGCAGATGCCCATCACCTACTGAATGGAAAAACAAAATATGGTTTATCCATATAATGGAATATTACTCAAACCATCAAAAGGATTGACTACTGGTACATGTTACAACATGGACCTTGAATACACTTTGCTATGTGAAAGCGGACTGACACAAAAGGCCAGATGTTATATGATTCCATTTATATGAAATGTCCAGAATGAGCAAATTCAAAGGAAGTAGATTAGTGGTTGGCAGGACTGTGGAGATGGGGGGCATGGGAATGACTGCTAACGGGTACAGTTTCTTTCTGGGGTGATGAAATGTATGGGAAACAGATAGTGGTCATCGTTGCATATCCCTGTGAGTACACTAAAAACCACTGAATTATGCACTTTAAAGGAATGGATGTTACAGTATATGAATTACTTGTCAATTTAAAAGATCAAAGATAAGGAAAATCAGATTCAGCCCAGCCAGCGTGGCTCCGTGGTTGAGTATTGACCCATGAACCAGAAGGTCGAGGTTTGATTCCCAGTCAGGGCACATGCCCAGGTTGTGGGCTCGATCTCCAGCAGGGGGTGTGCAGGAGGCAGCTGATCAATGATTCTCTCTCATTTTTCTATTTCCCTGTCCTTCTCCCTTCCTCTCTCTGAAATCCATAAAAATATATTTTAAAAAGAAAAATAGGATTCATTGGCCAAGGAAAAGCCTAATGATGTTCAAAGTTTCACTGTTTGACTCTTTTTCTTCCTTTCTCAGATTTTTGGGATATGCCTGGCCCAGAACCTGGTGAGCGACATCGAAGCTGTCAGGGCCAGCTGGTAGAGCAGAGCGCCTGCCACCGCCGCAGAACACTGGACACCCAGCCTCCCGCACCCTCCAGCGGCCCGACCGCGTCCACGCCGCACAGAGCAGTCACAGGGGCATCCTGCAATCCCACCTGACGGAGCTGCCAAGAACTTGTTTTGGGGGGTGAAGCTGAGAAATGCTGCTTACTGACAGAATTAAAGAAACAATAACCAGTATGCAAGTCGTTGCGCCGTGAATCTCTACTGTAGCCATGAATTTATGGATGGTTGGATCCTTAACCAAAAAAAGAGGAAAAGGGAGGGTGGGGAACCCGTATGTACTTGAATGTGTGGGGAAAGCCTTGTTCTCCACAGGAGCGATTGGAGGGCTGGGAGAGGCAGCGTTGCCCTTCCTCACGCTGTGGCCTGAAGATGTGATCTTTCCTGGAACCCAGCCCCTGCCCTGTGAGGGCTGGGCCACTGGCGTCCCTTCACTGGACATCGCAAGGAACTGCGACAACTCGCGTCCCAGGGAGAAAACAGCTTGTCCTTGGGGTCAGATTTCGAGATTGAGTTTAGCAAGTGACGAGCCGGCACATTGGGCCTCCTGATGAGAGAAGTTGTGTATTTCAGGTGCACTGAGCAGACCCTGGGAGCACCCCGTGAGGCTGGAATTCAGCAGGACAGATCTTTTTTCTAAGGGGCCTGCGCTTTATTTACCTGTGACATCCAAGGAGAAAATGAGGCTCGACGAGGTATTAGTTGGATACACCCTCACCCCAGCCACTGAAGTAGGTGTCGGATTCTTCAGAAACTCTGCGGCTTTGGCTTTTTTTTTTTCTTGCCTTTTTTTGTTTTAGACTCCCCAAAAGCTGCCGTTTCTGTTAAATTTTTAAGTGTTTCCTTACAAGCTCGAATATTAATTTTGTGTGTGTAATCTCCCCGCATGACCTGTGAATCTGAACCCACCATTCTTTCCTCCCGCTATCTCTCCGACAACATTGATAGGTGTGGTGTGGTGTGGTCAGCACTGGGTGGGTTCACGCCCTGAGAGGGGTGGCGGTCCCGCCTGGCTGGGAAGGGGCCAGCTGGGCCCACGATATGCTTCCATGGACTCAGCAATCGCTCAGCCATACGGGTCGCCATGGTTTCCGCTGCGTCCTGCCCCCCTCTCTCCTGGAATGGAAGTGAACCCCTTTCCAAAACAACGCTGACACATCAGAAAGCTTCTAGTGGGGTTTTTCCCTCTTCTGGTTTTAGTTTTTTTTTTTTTTTTTTTAAAGAGAAGAGTGAGTGGGCAGAGCTCTTTCTGTTCTCGTAGTGCAGGCTAACCATCAGGATGGCGATAAAGCACAAATACTCCGAGGGGGGACATTGGCGGGCAGGTGTTCTGAGTCTGAGAGGAAAACCACCTCCAGGTGCTGCCACCCACCCTGGCCCGCCTCCAGGTGGGAGGGACCCGTTTTGCCCCCAGATTTTAATCCAACCTCATCTACCGGGATGTCACTCTCCCGGGGAGCAGGTATAGTCTGTGGAGCGCTGGGAAAACCACAGGCGTGTTTCACGGTGATGACACGTTCTCCAACGCATCGCTGGGCAGCCGGCGAGGTACTTTGTGAACTTGAGCAAGGCTTTCTGCACCCGCCCCCTGGTGCATCGCTGCGGTCGGTGCACGTGTGGGTCTGCTCTGAGCGAGGACTGCAGTTGACAATACCTGGTCTCCGGGGTTGGGTGTGTCTGACTCTGCATGTGAGTGTGTGTGTCTCTGTATCATCAGCGATGTCCATCCCGTGCTCCAGCTGTAAGATGATTTTATCTTGTCTCGGCCCCACTACGTTGTCCTGTGATGTCATTCCAACACGGAGTCAGCTCTCCGGTTGGCACGCTTGTCCTTCCTGTTCATTACCTCATCCTCCAGGGAACTCCCTCTGACCAGTTGATTCAGAACCGGGCAAGATTCCCCCCTTCGGCACATCCAGTTAAAGGCCAAACGGAAGTCCAAGTGAGTTTTAAATTTTAAGGAACCACCCTTTATTTTTTACACTTGAGAGTGGTTGTAATAAAGGCTGTCATTAATAAACTTGGTTCTACCTTACGTGGGGTTATGTCTGTCTTCATTGCTTCTCTCTTGAAATCGCAAAAGTCTCGGATGCGGTGGTTCCCAAACCTCAGCAGCCGAATCCCCGATGGCTTGTGGAAACCCAGATGGCTGTGTCTGCCTGTTCCCAGACTGAATTCCTGATTTAGTCCTTCTGGGGAGGGGAGGTTGAGAAGGTGCTGTTCTGACTGGTTCGCGGTGATGGTTTGCTGGCGACGCTGTTGCCATGTGTTTTGAGAGCACAATTGGAGAACCCCGCTCTGGTCTGGTTCTCCCGGGGGAAGGGACAGGGAACATCTTGTGATTGGAAGGGAAAGGTCTCTTGGTGCTGCCGGCTAATGGGAGACAAGCAGAGCGGGGTGTGTAGGAATCTCTGTTCCTAAGGCCATTGCTGCTCACAGCCTCCCAGAGACCAGGTGGCGTGCAGATCATCAGGCCTTGCCCCTAGCAGTTCTGTGGTGGGGGAGCCAGAGCCTATATATATATATATATATATATATATATATTTTTTTTTTTTTACTTTTTCCAGAGAGCCTATATGTTTACGAAAGTCCCATTGAAAATTTAATGCAGTGAGGATGAGGACTCACATGGGCCTAGGTAAATGTTGATAATATTCACAACCTTTTTCTAAGAAAATAATTTCTAGTAGTCCCTTAGAGCAGGAATCTTAGCCCCTTGGAGAAATGCTGACTTAACTTTTATTTTGAATTATCACCACAGAAGGAGACTTCTGTCTTTAGAACTGTCAGGGATTTTCTTCATAGATTAAATGAAAACAACATTTTAAGATTCACACAGTATTTTCAGACCCCGACCCTGTGTCAGGACTGGTTTGGGAAACGTTTGCCTCATACCCCTGGATACTTGAGACCACAAATGTTACTTTGACTTTAGGGGAGTGTATCTGTGGTAATGGGAGGTCACCAGTCCCCATTTCTTGAGTTTTCTTCGCTGTGCTGGAGATCATCTTATGTACGGGAGGCTGTTTGTCCTTCTTGCTGTCGGCAAACTCTAGGCCCAGAAAGGAGAAATATTACAGCTCGGAAGTAAAGGGATTCAGCCCGGCTGGTGTGGCTCAGTGGTTGAGCATCAACCTATGAACCAGGAGGTCACTGGCTCGATTCCCGGTCAGGGCATATGCCCCGGTTGCGGGCTCGATCCCCAGTGTGGGGCCTGCAGGAGGCAGCCGATCAGTGATTCTCTCTCCTCATTGATGTTTCTGTCTGTCTCTTCCTCTCTGAAATCAATAAAAATACATTTTGAGAAAAAGAAGTAAAGGGATGCTTTGTCTTGAACTCAGAACTTATAGGAAGTTTCCTCTGTGTAGGTAGGCTTGGAGGAGGATTATTCAATTGATATCTCTGTTGTGTGACCGGTTACCACCAACATCATTGCCTCCATGATTTAAAAATATCTAATAGTGTTTTTAAGAATGAACACAGGGATTAAAAAGAAGAATTTTGCATCATGAAACACTTGAAAAAAAAGGAGATCTTTGTTTTCTTCTTTCTACCCAGGAATGAACCTCTCACTTTTGTTCCAGCCTTCTCCCCGCCGCAGGCCCCCTCCTTCTGCTCTCAGGACTCTGAGACGCGTCTTGGCTTTTTCTTGTTTTGCACAGTGTTCCTCGCAGGCCCTGTGCGCGCTGGGCAGGGACACTTGCTCTGCAGTTTCTGGAGCTCCTCTCAGGGCTGCTGCCCTCCGCTGGGATGGGAGCCCTGGGAAGCGGCTGGACAATGAGGAGCCAGGGGCCTGGCTGGCCCTCCCGGCTCCCTGGGTCCTTTATTCCACGAAGCCCGGCTTCCCTAGGGAAGCCTGTTCCGACTCCGAGGAGGAACGGGAAGCTCTCCGCGAGCGCTGGCCCGCACTCCCCAGCGAGCCCTCTCCGCAGTGGGAAGCCTGGTCCTGGAATGAGGAGGAGAATGCGGTGTTTGCCTGGGAATAGGGACCCATGGTGACATCTACAGAGATGTCTATGTGACAACAGACAGGGCGGAGGTACCTGGGTGGGGGCAGGGGGCGGAGAAGAGAAGCCGGACTCTGAAGAGAAGCTCAAAGCCATCTTTAGAATGGCCTGAGCCTTTCTTTTTGGAAGGGTTGGTGACGAAGTAAAGTTGATCAAGTTACAGTTTGGAGGACTTCTTTAAGTGGAGGAATTAAATACACTCCCTGTGGCCTGTTCATGCTGAGCAGGTCTCTTGTCAGCGGGGCGGCCCTGAGATGATGCCTGGGTTAGGCCGCTCCTGGGGTCCCTGAATCCAAAGCAAAGCCCTGATTCCTCCACTGCCAGGAGCCCTCCTGCGGGGAGAGGGTGAGTTCCCGGGCTTTACACTTCACTAGCGTAGTCCGGACACCGCGGTGTGCAAACAAGGCAGCGCTTCCCATGTTGTTGCCCTGTGTTTAAGGCGTAGCTGCATTCTATGTGGGAGAAAGACAACCTTTAAATCGGGAGTTTATCGTGTCTTCGGTTTTGCTTTTGCAGAACTGGCTTGAACAGGAACGTTTTAATGGCCTGCCCTCTGGTGGTGATCCTGCGGAACCCCTGGCGGCTGGAATAGTTGCTGCAGGGCTGAAAACTGCCTATGGAGAGGTGCTCGCACTTTGCAGGAGGAACTCGAAGGCTCTACAGCTGTACGTTGGGTCCCTTCACACGCTCCTGAAAGTGGCATCGCCTGCCTTAGAGAGCTAGGGGGCTGGGTGTTTAATCCCCGTCACATCTACATCCTGATCCTGCTGCTAGGACTTCAAAGGGCGCGGCCCTCCAGCCAAGACTCACGATTCATGGAAGAGGTGGGGGTGATCTAAAATGACTCATCTGCCAGGCAGGTAACTCTTTGGGAACAATGAATGGAACATTCCCATCTACTTCTTCTCAAAGCACCCATGCTGACCACCTGGAGTTTGCTTCTATCTGAGAATTTGCAACCTTGGTTGTGACGGTGGTGAAGATGGGTAGGGTGTTGGGCCGGTCTGGATCACTGATACGGGTGGGATTGCATCTTCCCAAAATCCATGTGTTGAAGTCCTAACCCGGATACCTCAGAATGTGACTGTATTGGGAAGTAGGGTGGTTGCGAGTGTAATTAGGTAAGAGGAAGTGATATCCTGTCTAGCCAGTGTTCCTGTAAGAAGGCAAACTTGGGCTCAGAGGCACACACCAGGAGATGGCCAGGTGAACAGGAAGGCAGAGATGGAGGGATATGTCCATAAGCCATGGACCACTAAAGACCACTAAAGACCACCAGCGAGCCTTGGAGCCTGGGAGGCATGGAACCTGTTCTGCCTCGGCCTGCAGGAGCCAACGCTGCTGACACCTGCACTTTGGCCTTCACCCTCCCGACTGTGAGACAATCCATGTCTGTGGTTTCAGCCTCCCTCCTGCTCTGTGGTCCTGCTGTGGAGTCGGAGGAAGCCGAGACGGGGTTTGGTGCCCTGTTGCAAATTTTCAGGCTGGAAATGGGAGGACTGCTCAGAGCTACTTTTTCACTAGAAGGATGCTGAGTGTGCTTGTGCCCCTTACTATTGGAGTGGGTGCAGCAGAACATGGCATGGGGTGCCCTCTCCGCATTTGCCCTGAGCTCCTGGAAACAGTCTTGTCACCTTTTGTGGGACATTTTAAAATAAGCAGTGCCTTGTCTCATCCTGACTTATGATGGCAGTGCTGCAGACTGTGTTTATGGGATTCGGTGATCTTAAATGCAACATGCTGGAGTGAGGAAGAATCTTACCTAATAATAGACAAACATGTAAATTGACCATCCCTCTGCTACGCTCACCAGCCAATCAGGAGAGTATGCAAATTAACCAAAGATGGCGGTTAATTTGAATACGTAGGCGCGAAGCGGCGGAGCGAAGACGAAGGCTCCAGCCAGAGCAGCAAAGACTGAAGGCTCCAGCCGGAGCAGTGAAGGCCTGGGTCCCGGGTGCCGGAGGAAAACCGGTGCCGGCAGCCAGGGGAAAAGAAGGCCTATTGCATGAATCTTCGTGCAACGGGCCTCTAGTCATAAATAAAAGTGCTTCTTTCCCAGGATGTGTGCTTCCTTGAGGCTTATTACTTCATGAAAGAATCAGCCCAATAGTTCCATGAGTCCCTATTGCACACCAGCTAGCAGAGGTGAATCCTAACCCTAACCACAACCCCAACCCTAACTTAGCCATAGCGCAACCCTAAGCATAATGCAAACCCTAAGCGTGTCATAACCCTAACACTAAACCTAAAACCAACCATAACCTTAACATAAACTTCACACTAATGCTAACCATCAGACTGACCCTCTCAAAAACCTAATCCTAACCCTAACCCTATCATGACCCTAAACTTAACCATACCCCTAACCCTAATCATAACCCAACCCTAACCTTAAC